TCATCATCATCAGAGGAGGAGGAGGAGGAGGAGGAGGAGGAGGAGAAGAAGGAGGAGGAGGAGGAGGAAGAGGAGGAGGAAGAGGAGGAGGAGGAGTCTTTCCAGTGATCAAGAGGGAAATCAGAGACCCACTAAGTAGAGCTAAGTACCATCACCTGGAAGATGTGTATTCTGGGTACTCCTATAAGCCTGAACAAAAATCTATCTCATGTCGCTGGGACCAGGTTGAGCTAGCGAGACTGCGGTCGGACCATGATTGGAGTTTTAGATGGTATAAGAACTTTGTAAATGAAGAGCGTGGCCGATGTTTCCGAAGATGCGGCCATGAAAAGGAGGATGTCAAACATATATTTGAATGTCCAAGAACAATGGCAGTTCGAAATTTTGTTATTTGGACAAGTGGATGTGCCGCTAAACATATTGACAATGGATCGGAAAAAGAGCCCCGCTCTCGCTCGAAGATTTCTTTGTGGACTCCGTCAGGCCCATTAATGAAACAAAAAAAATCATCATCATCATCACTATAAATAACAAGGAATAAAAAAGGGCGAGACTTGTAGAATTTTCAAATTTTATACAGTTTCAACGTTTCGCCCAGTAAATGGCCTCATCAGGACCATGGTACAAAAATAATATAAGATCTAATGACTACAAGCTATAGCAACTAAAGTGCGCGCATCTAAACATCATCATCATCATCTTTATCATCAACAACAACAACAACAACCTCATCAAGGGGCACATTACAATACTGTTTTTCTCTGTTTCGTTAGATCTATTATCGTTCTCAGTTTTTAATTAGAGTGCAACGAGGGCTCGAGTCATGATTCCTGATTTGGGAGCTCTTTTTTTTCTTAAAGATTTTGCCTAAACTATAAAAAAAAACCCACTTAGATTTTTGTGCAATGACGCTAAATAGATATACAACATAAACAGATATCGTTCCAACCATAAGTGAAATATTGTCATTTTAACACAGTATAACTGTACTTGTATTTGTCATTGTAATTGTTAGTGTTACCGCCTCATCAACACAAATCCTTTGTGAGGCGCCGTGGTGGAATCAGGCTCTCGTCAAAATACTCAAAGCAAAGAAACTTGCATTTTTCCGCAGGTTTATGAATTTTTATCATTTTTTGGGGGGGCTCAACACCTTTCATGCCCATTAAAAAACTCATTTCTGTGCGGATTTTTCTGAAAAACGTTTATTCAAAGCACAAAAAATGTAAATGTTCAGTTACCACAAACTCTTAAGCTAAAGAAATAACTATTCTTTGGCGTCTCTTTTCTCACTAATTTTACCTCTGAAAACAGGTGACCCCCATCTCCTTCTTTCGCAAATATCTCGACTTGTATTCAAGATAAATGGATATTTTTTCATCCAAATAAAGGCAAGTGAACAAGCTTTAAGATGATACCAATAACTCTCCAAGCCCCAAAATTGACGAGAGCCTGATTCCACCACGCTGCCTCACATTTATTTCGGGCTACTTCAACTCTGTTTGTCAGAGCCAACTCAGACAGTGTGGGATACATAATACATACATCAGCGAGTCATCGTGGTGAAATCAGGTTTTCGTCAAAATGATGAAATCGATAAAACCAACAATGTTTCGATCTTCAGCTGTCCTTATCGATTTTTGGGGGGGTTGGGGGGACGGGGAGGAAAGGAGAAACGGTGGGGGGGATCACCATCATCATCATCATCATCATCATCATCATACATCATCATCATCATCATCATCATCATCATCATCTTTACCATAATATGCCGGTGTGCATTTCACTGAAAAATATTGTTCAAGAGCACGAAAACGTAAATTTGCATTTGCCAAGGAAACCTAAGCTTGGGAAGTCACTTCTGTCACCAGGCTATATCTACCTCATTCAGTAGCAAATATCTCGACTTTTTGTCTAGATAGAGTGATATTTTTCTTTTTCATCAAATTCAAGACAAATAAACAAGCTTTAAGATAATACCAGTAACGCCATATATGTCCACGAATTGACGAGCGCGTGAAAATACCAGGTCGTGACCCATACGATCAGATTGGATCATCTGGGCCTGTCACCTCCCCGGGCAGTGCCACTGATTGAAGTGTCTTTAGGCTATTCCCAAAGGGGGGACATTTTCTCGTTCAAGCGCAGTAGAATTGTTGATTGATCAATGTCACGCTTTTAACTGTGCCTGATCTACAACAGGGATTTGCTGCTTTTTCTTTCCTAATCTTTACTATTGTCATTTTCCCTCTACTTCTTTTGCATGTTTGTCACACTCGTGAGACCCACTATTTCCGGGGTGCCTTGATAATCGAATCAGACTTTATGCTGTTGAAGCTAGAGAGGTGAGCAGAATAAGTCTGATTTCCTGCAAGGACTTTTCTGTTGACATCCACCCCTTGGCGCTCATATGACCTTATGCAGTTGCGAGCGCCTTAAAATCTCTACTAAGACTAAAAACTAAAAAATGAGCCCGTGTTTACATGATTCTGCTCTGATGGCCACTGGTATAGAACAATTATCATCTACACAAACTGCTACTTCCTATACACCAATCCCCCCTGCGTTTTATTTACATTATAAGACTTCAGCCAGTCTTTTTTGGTGACTTTTTCCTCGACAATTTGTAGCTGTTAAACAACTTCGACAATATTTGGTCCAGGTTTCTGCAAGTGGTCATCTTCACACTGACCAGTGGCACGTGTGTGACCGCGGGCATCTTAATCACCAATCGCGTCTTCCCGGACATCTCCATCAATGACGTCATCACCAGCATTATTATCTACGCCATTATGATGGCCGTCAGGTATCCTTCTTTATTTGCCAGTGTGTTTCTTATTTGTGTGTGCTTGTGTGTGTGTGTGTGTGTGTGTGTGTGTGTGTGTGTGTGTGTGTGTGTGTGTGTGTGTTTGTGTAT